ATAAGATACAGACAATTGTGGAGCTAAACACTTTACGTCATCATTTTTTTTTAAATCACGCCACGGTTTTTGCCGCGTGTTGTCTAAACGAGCCTTAAAGGGACCTGGTAACATTGTTCAGATGAGAGATAATGGTGCTAAGGTAGTGACTTCAATGCTAGATGTACAATTAAAGATAATCTGAAAATTTGAGTGGAAACGGACCATTATTCATGGTACAAATTGGGAAAAACTGATCTAATCGATTCCTTAATTCTCCCACCTATATTATTACAATTTAAGTGAATGGAAATCGTCACAAAGCAATAAAATGGCTCTACATTCTATTACAGACATTTAAGTGTTGACAAATTTTGTATAGCCTGTTTTATGTCTTTTTTTTCATGGAAAAACGGTTGGGAAAAATTCAAAAATGGTTGAGAGAATTTACTGTTAATCACTGTTAGAGGGTATCATACATCGACTCCTTCAAAGAAAACCATGTGTATCTTCGTGGTTTGAGAATTTGTTCACAATTGTTTGCATGTCAGAGGGTTAGTACAGTAGAAGGAATATAGTAAGTAACATTTTATACAAAAAGTAAGCAATTTTTTCATCAACCTTCAACAATGTTACCAAGTCACTTTAACTATGTATCATAGTTACATGGCGACTCAATCTCTGCATACTTATATATATCATTGTAACCTCGTGAACAAAAGAAACGCTTTGTAAAATAAAAAAAAGTTGGCTTTCCTCACCGATAACCCCCCTAAAAACTAGGCCAAAACCAGAACAGTAAATTATCATTATTGAATGCGCATTCAGGGAATGTGATTTCCACGGTAGGCCTATATCCATTACGATTCTGAAGTGACTGGGGAATTTTATTCGACACAAATGTAATTAGTAAGGCGAATTACTCGCCGTTGAGGTGTGCTCCAGACAGCGTCGAGTGTCGTAGCGACGTGGAGGGCGCGTAGGAAGCACACGACCCTTTCGAAGAGTGTGTGAGAGTATTAAAGGGAGAGAGAGAGAGATAGAGACAGAGAGAGAGAGAGAGTGAGAGGGGGAGAGAAAGAGAGAGAGAGACAAAGAGAGAGAGAGAGAGAGAGAGAGAGAGAGAGAGAGAGAGAGAGAGAGCCAGTGACAGACTGGAAAGATATATGTGTATATCAATATAAATTAAAATGAATATGAGAAGATGATGACGCTATATAATACTCATGATACTCGATTTCTAAAGTATCCATTCCTACAACGCCAGAGAATAATGTTCAAACAGATAGATTGAAAATATAAATCAATACAATGTTTGCGTAATCATTATTTTGTCGTGCATCTGATTTGTTCCTTCTTTCTTCTTTTCATATAACTTCTGTTTGTATTGGAGGACGTTTAAAGCAGACGGGTTCTCTCTCTCTCTCTCTCTCTCTCTCTCTCTCTCTCTCTATCTCTCTCCCTCTTTTGTTACCCCTTCCCTTCTCCCCTTCTATTTCTTTCTCGCCTCTTCTCTTTCCCTCATTTTTGTTTAATTCCTCTCCTCCTTTCTCTCTGTATCTAACTAACCCCCTTAAAAATCTCTTTCTTCTCTCTTCTCTCAGGCAATCAATTCTTTCATTCCCGCTCTGTCTCCCACTTCCCCGTCTCTCTCTCTCTCTCTCTCTCTCTTTCTTTCCCTTTCTCTTTCTCTTCCGTCTCCCACCCGTTTCCTTTTTCTCTTTCACCCCTTTCGTCCGCGCTGCCTCTCTTCTTCTTTTTCTCCCCCCCCCCCTCTCTCTCTCTCTCCTAGTATTAGTATCTCTCCCTTCTCTCGTCTTCTCTCTTTTCCCTGTTATCTCTCCCTCTGGCTCTCTCCCTCTGTCTCATCCCCTCTCCCTTGTCTCTCTCTGTATTCCCCTAGCCCCTCTTCAGCCCTCCCTCTCAGGCCTCCTTTCCCCCTTAAGCTTCGACATGAAAAGATACCACTGCAAACATGGGAGTCGATATTATGATCGTCACTTTATTAGAGTCCATTACCCGTACACCCAGGGGAGAAATCAATACAATGTTCAATGTCATATTATGCTTCGTACTTTAAATATTAAAGATCAGTCCTATAGCAACCTACGGCAAGCAGGTGTTTCTTGCTCCTTTCGTACGTCGCATCTAACACCTAACCTATTAATTGACGAAAGGGAGAATGTGCCGGTTATGACGGATTTCCATTTTGTTTTCTTTCGAATTCTAAAGAACATTTTACGCGCTCTGGATTATCATAGTAAATTTACTCATACCGAAATGAACACGGAATGGATTAAATCAATAACTCCAAGGCGAGCTTAACTTTTTATTCTCCAGTTTAAATGTGCGATGTAATACTTGTGAAGTTTTTTTCTTCTTGTTAACCTGTTAAATCAACGTTCACTGGTTTTAAAGGTCAATCTAATGTTTTTGAAAGGTTTAAGTTGTTATTCATGTTTTTTCTTCTTCTGTAGTTGTGATTATTGGAAATGTGTGTGCATAATGATCATCATTTGTGTTTTAAGGGGATTTTATTTTCTTCTTCTTGTTAACCTGTTAAATCAACGTTCACCGGTTTTAAAGGGCAATCTAATGTTTTTAAAAGGTTAAGTTGTTATTGTTGCTTTGTTCTTCTTCTGTAGTTGTGATAAATGGAAATGTGTGTGGATAATGATCACCATTTGTGTTTTTAAGGGGATTTTCTTTGTAATATTGCACTTTTTACGTTTTTCTAAAGCGAAACGGCCTGAAACATGGCCTAATCGTCTTCACCACTAATTCAAACGATAATCCCAGTGTTTCTCTTTTAAACGACTTTGATCTATTACAACTCAGTAGATTTCTAATAGTGCGTTAACAAGAGGTGACCGTGATTAATTTGTTTCGTGTGAAGGGATACTTGGGTTCGCATTATAATGTTAAAGGGACAGTTGAGTTCTTGTTTAAGACCGAAATATACCTTCAAAGTGCATGGTTATTGCTCTTATTTTTATATATGACATTTCTAGTTCTCTTTTAGAACCTAAAATTGCTATGAAGGTAATTTGAGACCCCAATATGTGTGAAATTTAGCTTAAATTCGATCATACAGATTCAGCTCCACTTTCAAAGAAATTACGGTGACCGCTAATTTCAATTTGATATTAATAACGATACACGAACCGGCTGGTTGTGCGAATTATAAACAACACGAAAAAGCAAACAAAAAGCCAACATTGGCATTGGCTGGAATAAAACGTATAAAGCGCTATCTCGTTTTTTCAATAGCTGCTTCAAAATTATCGAATATTAATTTTGTGGGGGTCCACAAACGTTAGAAATGGTTATATTTACGGATATTTCAGCCGTCTCTAAACCAATTTTTGATTTTAAAAGATGATTTTGTCATTTGAATTGTATGCTCTTTCAAATTGTCACTCAGTTTTTCATTATCTCACACAAAAAAAAACATCTTGTGTAGAGTCCTCTATACCGAAACTCAACTATCCCTTAAAGTTCGGCGTCGATTTCCGCTTACCCACCGGGCTTTTGAAACCAGCTTTGGGCCATCACGCGTGTAAAGGTTATCGGAAGAAAAAGTGGCCGTCTGCTTTTCAATTCAATCAATTTGTTGTCAGTTCTCAAGAGGCAATCGGTATCTATTATTTTGGACCGGACTGAATGCCTGTAAAGATTTTTCAAGTTTCAAGATTTGAGATTTAATCCACATGTCCACCTTTAATATGATTCGAAAAGCATACGTTGTTTTCAGTAGAGAAGCATTTCATGCATGTCATCCTCGGGCTCATGGCAAGTTCATTTAATATATTATTTTATATTATATAGACTTCATGCATGGCTGATTGTCAATTAAACGGAGTTAAGTCTTTTGTCAATTCTGGTTGTTGCTACGGCAGGTAGCCAGTGAAAACGAACTTTTAAAATCAAATTATGGAAATGCAAGCATCACTTTAAACAATCAGAACTTTGTTATTCCTGGCTCATTTTTTTCTGATTGAGATGTCATATGAACGACCAGAAAATAAACTTTCTAGAAATGTGAATTTGTCTTCGAAATTCAGATACCGCCCGCCAAATGACTTTTTGGTTTCCTTCCTTCAAATTGCTTTTAATCACTCATGCGTGAAATATGCATCATAATGAGTTGCATCAAATGAAAGCTTTACAAATATGTGTCATTTATTAATTATAATTGTGATTAAGTTATGATAAAACATCGATAATTCTCGGTTTCGTTTTTTCTTGGTCGAACTGTATTTCACATGAGGAGACCAAGTTTGGATCACTAACTTAGGTACGCCAACGAATTTAATAAAGATGCTGAAACGGAGGGTTGTGAGTTGGTCCTGTTGTCAGCCCACTGTTTGAGCCGATGGTGACGTTAATTATCAGTCTCCTGACTAATTATAATCCCTGTTATAAAATGATGACGTGGATCATAATCAAATGGTTGAAAGCGTACACGTGACCAGACATTTATTTTGCCTAACGCGTAATTTGGATAATGACCGGTCATTAGTAAAATCATGTTATAAAACATCATTTTATGAAACAAATTATACACATCATTTTGTTCGAGCGTCAGTAAGATACCAACACTCGGTACCTTCAAAACAGTCCAAACACCTGCCCTCGGCTACCGCCTCGGGCGTGTTAGACTGTTCCAAAGGTACCTTGTCTGGGTAATTCTTACTAATGCCCTCACTGCTGTGTATTATTTGTATAATACACATCTAAATCACCATGCACACACGCACGCGCGCACCCCACTCACACTCATAGGCGGATGTGTCCAAAATCACTTACATGTTTGAGAACATTAACGTCATCATCAAACCGGCCATCACGTCCATACCAACATACACTTTTCTTCCCAAATTTCTTCCGACATCCACCTTTTCTGGTTTAGTTCTCGCCATCTTCCTGACATATTGTTTCTAAATTCTAAAATAACCAAAATAATGAGCCCAATAATCACATTTTATTACAATTCTTTCTCATTGCCTTTCAAAATAGGTCGACAGATCGACAGCCGAATCGAGTGGTTACTTGGAAATACTGGACATGACTGCAACCATGGCAACCGCAGAGACCGAAGGAAACATGACTGATGATTTTATGATGAACTTTGACGTCACCGTCCCGATATCGATCTCCATCGTAATCACTCTTCTTATGATCGTGGTCACCATCGGAGTCCTTGGAAACTTGATGGTCATCGTCATCGTGTTCAAAAACTCCACGATGCGGACGACGCCGAATGCCATGGTGGCATCGCTAGCGGTCGCAGACCTTCTCGTTCTTCTGATGTCGGTGCCCTTCAAAATTATATTTCTTTTCACAAAGACTTGGCCTTTCGGAAACGTCTGGTGTAAAGTCGTTCATCACCTAGCCACCTCTTGCGGGTTGGTGTCCGTGTATTCACTGGTAGCTCTCAGCGCAGATCGTTACCACGCTATTGTGCGCCCAACGAGCTACACCGGTAATAGGAGTGCGTGTAAGCTGTCCTCTCTGGTGGGTTCCCTATGGGTGATTTCCATCGCACTGGGGATACCACCTTTCATTTCGTCCCGCGCAATGCCCACGCTGCATCCGGACTTCACTTTCTGCTACATGGACATGGGTAAATACAAGGAAGTCTACACCATCACGTTCTGTATCCTAATGTTCGTATTCCCTCTCCTTCTCATCAGTGTATACTACTCCAGGGTGGCATGGCGTCTCCTGAAGAGCGCTAGGGCTATTCCAGGAGAAGCCAATGACAAGCGCCCTCAACTGCGCTCCAGGAAGCGCTTAGCCGTGGTTGTTCTTGCTATCGTCGTACTTTTCGCCATACTTTGGTTTCCACACATTTGCGTGCGACTCTTCTTTCAGTTCCACCCTTATGCTATGGACCTCCCGGGAATGGGCGAGGCCAAGCTATTTTCTGACGTCATCAAGTATCTAAACCCTTGCATCAATCCTTACATCCTCTGCTTCATAAGCTCAACCTACCGTAAGCATTTTCGTCGCTCTTTCTGTTGGTTGTGCAGCAGGAAAAGGCGTTTCGACCGCGCGCGTTCGCTTACGTTTTCGTCCAAAGGGTCGTCGACGCGAACGAAATTTACCGAATTCCTCCCGATGTAATACCAAAAGGACGCACCATCCTCGGAAAGTTTTATCGACTGTTTTGAAACCTACTACGACCTACAAAAAGAGAAGAACAGATTATATACAAAAGGATTACAATATGTCGGTCATCTAAGACACTGCACTTTTGTTTTAAAAAACTCTATAAATAAAACCGGTTCCACGGGGTTTAAGGCTAGAACATGTTCAGATCACCTACCACATTGTATATGAGAAGAAAAAAAAATCCTACACTTTACAAATACTATCATAATATTTTGTATAAATTGGAGGCCTAAATAATCATTTAATGAATCGACTCATAGCAAGGGGATGAACATAATGAGACCGAGTAAATTGCAGATGGTAATACTCGTCGTATAATTATGTTATGCTATTGATATCTCCTCAAGGCAATCATTTATATTTTCAAACATGTTGTAGGTTGTCCGTTAATTCATCATGAAGTGATGAAAGAAAGAAAAAAAACCTGTTGGGTGAAACACTTAGCAATGTGTCGTTAATTTGTCGAATAAGGGATTATCGATATACAGTGTACCTTTAATGTATACATCCCTTTTATGAGAATAAAACATATATAGTTTAATTACTGTTCATAATTTGAATTGGACTAATTAGTAAGTATATACAATTATAGTTGTACATTTGGTGGTAATACAAACAGTTTAAGAATTCATTTCTTAAAACTTTAAATGTAAAGTTCAGTTACATTTGAAAAGAAACTGTAAGCAATACTGGAAGAATTGGTGTATAATGTTATTAATGTAAGGTTTCGAAATCCTCATAATGATAAGAAATTAACTGCGTGGTCTGAGCTCTGTTTCATAAACGGAAATAACGAAATCTAAATATATATTACAATTTTGCTCTCAGCCAATCAACTGCCATTATTTCAGTAGCTTATAACAGTAACTCTATTTCTGTGATTTGGTTCTCACAATAATTTCTATTTTCATTTGGGAATGTTTTACTGTTACAAATTTGTTACCCATTTAAACAGTGTGAAACTCATTTCTTAACTTATTAAATCAAATTGCACAATACAACTTTTAAATGGATGGCATGGGTTAACAGCAAACTTGAATAGCAGAAGGAGAATGTAGCCGTATTTTTGTTATAAGTGTAAAAATTTCTCAGTAGTTACACACTTTTCACTTGAATGACGAATGTAATATATATTCTAACTTTATATCTGTACATATGTATAAATTATATTTATCGCACATGTAAATTCGCAATATATATAAAATTACGTATCATGTATTTAACCAGAGTAACTATTTCGATTTTGTAAAATAATGATAAGTTCATATATGAAAAAGACGAAGAGAAAAGCCTATTGAAAGTCGATAAATAATACGTATTTCCGGGATTGGTTCATTAAATTTATTTTCTTTCCTTTCTTATTATATATAATTTACCCCCAACGACTTTTGAACACGTTATCTTTTGTCAAACAAGAATAAAAACAAGAACAAGGACGATGGTAACTAAATAGCGTATAATGACTGTTAAAATTGTGAGGTGATGCATGAATTCATATATCAAATCTGCATTCTTATATGAAAAAAACAGACGGTAACTTAGATTCAATAGATTGCACTGCTACCACAATACTTCTGCAAATATTACTTCTACTACAAAACTTCTACATCAACTCCTATCGCACTTGAAACAATTATACTACTGCAACCATTACATCTACTAATTATTATACTGCTGCTGCTGCTACTACTACTACTACTACTACTTCTACTACTACTACTACCATGACTACTACTCCTACGACGGCGACGATGACGAATACTTCTGCTACAACTACTACTACTATTTGTATAATCTGCTGCTCTTTCTAGACCGATATCAATATTACTTCTACAACTAACAATGCTACTAATACTACTGCTGTCACTATTACTACCGTAACCACTAACACAACAACAACAACAACAACAACACTGCTACTACTATTATTATTGCTAACATTTTCTTAGTAGGCCTACCTTATTTTGTGTTACCAGTACAAACCGTCTTTCTTTCAAGGACCTAAAGGAATATATTTGAAAAAATGGGATTATTTGCATTCAATTTACCAGACCTTTTGGTAACTGGGGGTTTGTTTCACCAATACTCGTGTAACCCGATCTGACGTGAACATCCGATGGACCTAAGTAAGCCCGATACACATGTAGCATACATACATCTATTGAAGCACGTTGCCAATGTAACAAGGTGGAGACGATGACTACTTCTACTATTACTACTACTAGTAGTATTATTACTATTAGTATGCTGTTAGCACTTCTACTTAATATTACTGCTGATACTGCTACTTATACTTCTTCTACCAACACCACCACTCCCACTATTACTACCACTTCTTCTCCACTCCTTCTGATAATGGTTGGTAATAGTAATATGCTTAATACAACCATTAACATTGATTTCATGTCTCCAATAATCATACCAAAATGATTCCTACTATCAAATACTTCGACTGCTACCATATGCACAACCATCAACACCACTACTACTACCTTAGTTCTAATACTACTACTACTACTACTACTACTACTACTACTTCCACCACCTCAACCCCACTACTATTACTGCTACGTCTACTACTACTACTACTACTACTACTACTACTACTACTACCACCACCACCATACCACCACCACCACAACTACCACCATCACCTCTACGTATCAATGATAACTATGATACGTTTCTCGCTCTTATGTTAACGCTGACTGTCATTGATATACTCCTACTAATATGTTTCTAATGTAGGGTATTGTTTTAAATGTTTCTGTCGATATCTTTTTCTCTCAGTGAAATATAAAGCAACTTTCATATTCTTACCATGGCTTATTTAATCCATGCATTGCAAGACAATATTTTTATTAATGACATTTGATATTTTGTGACCTTTTAAAGTCAATTTGAGCTGATATTTGGTATGGCACTCATTTGAAAATCATTAAAAAAAGATAAAAGATCACGTGTTATCATAATAGTGTTCTGAAAAACGTCAATAAATTGTTGATATAATGTTATACAGTTATACATTTGTTGTGTTTGATCTGTCAATCTATCCCTAATACACTGAATATGGCTGTTATATTTTAGATTGCGATCGGCAGTTTTTAAACTTCATATAATCTTGTACCAACAATTTCCATTGTTAAACGAAAAGGCACTTTTACATATGGCTGATTTATTTTTAAGATAGTGACTTACAGTATTTAAACTGCTTATAATCTTTTACCAACAATTTTCATTATTGAACGAAAATGCACTTTTACACAAAGCAGAGTTAATTTATATTTGACGAGTCTTTCAACGGTCATGTAACGTCGCGTTTCATTTTTTTAAAATTATACAGCCCGGTTTTAGCTACAATTTCGGTATGGTGTGTTCAGTTATTTCATGGGAAAGCTTCAAAACATGTCCGTTATTGTCCTGACGTTAGGGCGTCATTTCCTCTTATACGTGACAGGGCTTTGTATTATCTCTAGGTTTTATTTAGAATGTATAAAATATAAGAGTTTAAAACCAAGTGTATCGATGTATAAAGTAAAACTATGATAATACAAACGTTTAATTTCTTCCTATGATTATTAACCGAAATAAGTGGACTTTACACGCGTTGTTCTTTTGATATTTATTTCAGGACTGAGAAGCCATCAATTTTATCAGTAGCAATTAGGCTTTGCTTTAATGGTTATAGCGTTACTTAGAATGCAGATGATCTGATGTAACTTTCCATTTTGCCATTTTCTATTTGTCAGTTATTTAAGGTTCCTAATTCTGAAAATGAAATAATGTCAAATTCAATAATGAATCCAAATAAAATGAAACCCTACTTCAGAACTTTGTATGAAGAGATATGTTTTGATAACGAAAGGTTAGATGAAGATCTGATTGCCTCACCAAATATTCAGGAAACGAACATTGTAATTAAGCTTCTGAATAACTACCATTTTCCGTATCTAGTACAATGATATCAACAAAATGACAATACTAAACTATAAAAAAAAAACTTCGGATACATGAGAGCCTAAAATCAACCTTAGCCTTCGTTCATTTTCATCCTATCAAAACATTTACCACCGAGATCGTGAAATTATTTCCACGCTTTCTAGATTTAATGGGAATAAAATAAAGGAAAAAAAACAACATTGGAACGTTTCTACTGAATCTGATTGTTTATAGTTATGTAACTCAAGTGATTTTTTTAATTGCATACATTTTCATCAAGTTGAGTAAATTATCAAAAGGAAAAAAGCGTCACTTTGAGTAGCGATGAACTACATATAACAAATATCTTAAGTTACCTCATCTTTTGATATAAAACAAGACAAATTGCTGACCTTTCAGCAAAATGCAATGAATCTGAAGGCCATATTGCAGACAAAGAAGGACTCTGAAAGAAAATATTTGGTCATTTTATGATGGCCGATTCCCCTGACAGATTTACACATAATAAGTATACAGCGGACTTTCGTCCTTTGAGAAAAAAGGTAATAAAAATACATGTTTAAATATATACATATATACATATTAGCCCATATTGCAGATGACCCCTTGCGCTAAGCTTCTTAGCTCCTCCGCCCCGGCGCTAGATTACAGACTGCAATAAAATGTCCCAGGAGTGCATCTGAAAAATAGCATTGGTCGAGCAAAATTTATATTAGTATATATTGGTTTGTTCCTTTCTTTGCAGTACCCGTCGCTCCTCCAATAAGTCATATACCGCAATTGTCCAAGAAAAAATACTTATTTCCCCTTTTTTTTCGCACTCCGCGATCAATAAATTGAGATGAGGAAATGACATGAGATATTTAGTCATTCTTATTACTTTTCACCTCTTATGTCCGGCATTTTTTTTTCTTGGTATGATTAAAAAAAGTGCTTTCGTACTTTCTGTTTTTTTTTAAATGATAGTATTTACTTATTTTACAATTAGTGTACAGATTAACAGTTTAGACAATCTGTTAATAGCAGATATGCTACTAGCTAAACCTATACGAAAAACATGATAGAAAATCATGTACTACGTCAGCAATTGCATTGATAATCATTGATCCAACGCAACACCACGTCACACACACACACACACACACACACACACACACATTATTTTGACCAATATCTCGCACACAAATTAAGTAGAAGAAATGACTTGAGAGGGGAAAGGGGGTGGAGAATAATAATGAAGAAGAATAAGATCGAAGACACATAAAGATATACAATTTATATGATGATGACATTATATATATACGGATCAACCTGTTCAATATTTAAGAGTATATGTAGGAGAGAATGAGAAATTGTTACAAGATTTAAACTGGAATGCAAAATTAGATAACATTCGAAATGTATTACATATGTGAAAAATGAGAGATCTTACTTTTTTAAGGTAAAATAATTGTTTTGAAAATTTTAACGGCATCACAGACAAATTGTGCATATCACAACTGTTGTACCGGTATTAAACATACTTTTATAGATACTGAATAGACAGCTATTTAGTTTTTTATGGAATTCCAAAAAAGATAATATCAAACGTAATGTAATTATAAATGATATTGAAAATGGTGGATTGAATATGATTGATGTTGCTAGTAAAATATCGTCACTTCTTTTGCCATGGATATCTCATTCTTTTAATGACAATGGCTCTAATTGGAAAATATGTTTAGATATTGGTCAGATTAAATAGGGGGTTTGCCACTTTGCTTACATGTCAATTGTAATATAAAAGATATGAATTTATTATGCACTAAAGTACTAAACATAATTTGCCAGAATTTTATGTAGACCTTTTTTGTACTTGGTCAGAAATTATATTAAATGATATGTTTAAAGTAAGAAATATTACAAATGAAAAATTTTGAAAAAAATAGTGTATTGAGAATGGCACAGTGCCGATATATTGATTACAAAAGGTATCTGGAATGATTTTACATTCAACATTGAAAAATTGAACGCTCAAAAACTTTTATTTGATTTGAAATATACAAAATTGCGGTGTTGGTTAGATAGATTAGGTGATGTCGATGATTTTGAAGATTAAAGTGATATTTCTAATCTTATAGAAAAACAGGGGATAAGGTAAATATTTTTTGTTAAGAAAGTGAAAGATTACTATCGTTTTGTATAAATCAAATAAGGAAGAAGTCAAAAGAACCAAGTGTCATTCATTTAGGAATTTCTTTCTTGATTTAGATAATAATTCACAGAATTATTGCCTCAAAAGAAAATGTATATAAATGGCAAATTGTGAATAATAATTCATGCAAAATTTGTGGCAAAGTGTATTCAACGTTTCACTTTTTATTGTATTGCAAAGATATGATTATGTTTTGGAAAATAATCTGTAA